TGGCTGGTAGATGGAGGTGGTGTTGGCTGGTAGGAATTCGACGGTCGTGTTGCAAAGGTATTGGTCGCCGTGTTGTTCTTTAAGTTGTTTTACCGCTGAGACGTGAGCTGAGAAACCATCGACTAACAACAACACTCAACGACCGGCCATCTGACGATCAAACCAGTACAAATATTCGATGAAGATAGTGGCGGTCATATAGGCGGTCTTATTATTACGCTAAACAACGGGAAGGTTCCTAATGTAGATAGCATCGTTGCCAAAAGCACGCGGGCACTTGGCCTTGCCCAGAATCCACAAATCCAGCTTGTGTGTGCCGCTGGCATTCGAACAAGAGAATATAGTGAAACGGTCCTTCTGCTTCTTCCTTCCCTTTTGGGCGTAGGTAGCGAGTGTGGTGTCGGGGGTAGCCAGCTAATATAACGCTGTTTCGTCGGCGTTGTAGGTGTTGTCTATACCGAACAAGGAAATCAAAGTTTTGACTCGCTGGATTTGTTATAGGGAACTCTCGATATCAGCTGACCCGGACTCGCCAGACTGTCGAAATTTCTTGATGTGATGACGCCGCTTGAACCCAGCCAGCCAGCCGACTGAAAAGCTTGGTACCCCGAGGAGGCGGAAGTCAGGCATCCTTTCCCATAACGATTTGGCGGCAGTCCGGATCATCTCTCCAGTAACGGGCAACTTATTACTCTCCATACGCATAACCCATTCGAAGAGAGCTTTCTCCAAGACGGGGTAGTCAGCAGTATGGACTTTGGTAACTCCAACAGCCCCGCGTACGAAGGTCTTGTTGTCGACATAGGCAAATTTGGGTTAAGAGAATCGCACACGGTAGACTGGTTCACTTTGCGACCAAATTCACGTGTGGCCCAATCGGCTACGTTGCGTTAGTTGAGGAGGGGGTTCGCCTTCGCATACGAACGAATCTTTTGACGTTGAAGCTCGTTAATCACATAACGACGCTGCCTCTCGGTAGGGAGCATAGTGTTGAGAAGGATGGTTTGAAGGGTGGTGAACGTTATAATAAAGAGTTGGCATTGAGTCAACCCTTCCGATCAGATAGGGAAACACTGCGTGAAATTTAGTAGGGTGCTGGGCTCCCTAGAGCTCCCAACTTTATAGTGGGGGTAGGAAGTGGTAAAATTTTAAACCGGTTTGACAGGTTTTGCCAGCTCTTAACACCTCTTTACAGGGCTGTCAAAACCTGTCAGACGGGCTGACTTGGCTACCAGAGCTGTTAAACAGGTATATTGGATATAACGATCCGTATGTGTTACGTAAGCAAGAAATTGATCGATAATTGGATAAGTCAGAAAAATCATCATTACCATACATTAAACTAAGATCTGCCAAAATTTGATTGCTAAACTCAGAATATCGTTATCCCTATAATCGTTAATTGGAGATCTGACTGTACCTTTCAAACGCGGGAGCTAATTTGCGATCGATATGGAGCTAACTTACTAGCGGACCGCTAAATCGAACCAACAGGAAGGATCGTTATGGAAACTTAAATGTGACTGCATGAGTCGTAGTCGGTTCGTGTCGGTACCCTTGAGTTCATGAATGGTAAGTAGGAGGTACTCTGTTAACAGGTATGCACGATCATACATGATACATGAATAACTTACACTGTAGAAGTTAGGAGATTCTCAAAGACTTTCTTAGAGCCTCTTTAACTCTGGTTGCTTCCATGGTTGAGAGGATCTAAGGAATGGCATTTCACCCTTTAAGGATTTGCCCTCGACTTCTGGCGATTTCTGGTTGCTATCTTCTAATCTTCTTGTACGTGTGTTCAAAAGCCCGGGTGTCCGGTCGTATGTAGCCCCAGGTCCAAGAGGTTCTCCCTTGTAAAGTACGTAACACCAACATGCAAGCCAAGCAACGCCGACAGAAATGTGAAACCTACTCCATTACCTGGATGCTAGATTTGCTCTTACTACCTAGCAGCCGCAGTTAGCCAGTTACCTTGCCTAGCTAGTTACCTTACCATTCCTTACACATATTCTTTTTGAAGACCCCGCCTTTCCGGGGGGTGTTATTCATTCATCCTTTCATTGTTGTTTTTCAGCCCTGTGACTCTGACGGCTAGCCTGTCTGTCGGTCAGACGCGTGGCGGCAGAACCCGGACTAAAGCGGAAACAAACCGGACAGGGCGGGCAAGCGGGCAAAGCGGCGGCCTACCTACCGCTTGCTGCTGGTGCTGCTGGTGCTTCTTCGCTAGGATGGTCCCGTGTTTAGTGCCCGCTTCAACACGCGCTTATGTTTTGGGCTAAGATAAATTCACGAACTCAACCGGACAGACGGGAAAACATTCGACTGCTGACTGGTCACTGGGCTGCGGTGAGCTGGACTGTAACTGTAATGTAAGCAAGTACGCACATAACTACCTAATGCATCCCGTTCACATGGTTGACGCTAGGCAGGACTAATGTAAGGTCGGGTAAGTAGGCGAGAGGTACGGTATGTATGGTAGGGCATGGTAGGGATGCGGTAACTGTGTGGTAGCCATGAAGTCAATCTTACAAAACACACGCATCACCTACAGACACTTTATTGCATTCCCACGGACGCCCCGGCCACGCACGTACCAACTGCACTCTTCCTGTAAGAGCGGCAGGCTGCGGACTGAATTGAGACGAAGTCAATGGAAGCATTCGAACGATGTAAGTGAACCTTCTATTGGGAGGTGCATTTGATGGGAAGTGGGAACACGCAACTGATCAAGATATAACTCGAACGACACTAGCGTGTTCCAAATCTCTTATCTTACATGGTCTGTTCCCGCTTTGCCCGGCCGCCGCAGTTGCTGGCTTGGGCTTAGGTACTGCTGCTGCTCCCGTCCCTTGGGACTCCATGGGACTGGACTGGACCACCGGATCCGACCCTTTCATCCACTTCGCTTCTGTGCCATCATCCCACCATCTACCACGTGTTAACTAACCTTACTAGTGTACCGTTCCTACGGTACGCTATTCTTGCCGCGGTTTAGTTCCCGTGCTTAGGGGCTGTGTGTAAATGGTACGTACCACGAGGGAGGACCGATGACGAGCTTGAATCCATGACGATGTAGATCTTGGTGCCGTGATTTTTCTGGTCAAAAGAGATATATCTTGGCCTCAACTGAGTTCGACCTATTGATACTTGATGACTCCCGAAAATGTTTTATTACCTCTATCTTTCTGACTGCACTCTCCCTTGCGTTTAGGGGCCTTGTTAACCGGTGGCCATCTAGACCACCTACGGGACACTAGGGTCCAGTTCAGCAAGCGATGTTGTCTTGCATTCCATCCAACCCGATGGATGGCCACAGGAACATGGCAGGGGGTTTCGGAACTGCGGGCTGAGGCAAAGTAGGCCCAGTCAAATTATGAGTGGTACAAGGCGATGGCCGGGTTTGCTAGGAGCACACGAAGGATTCGCTCACTCTGTCAGTCAGTCAGTCAGTACTCACTGAGCCCACCCCCAGCCTGACATGAACCAAAATGTTCCGCGTCTTTTTCTAGAAAGAAGAAGATGGATTCGGATACCTGCTTTTACTAGCCCCCTAGTATGCACGTCATACGGACAATGTTTTTAACCACCCTTCGGCTGAGCCTCAAGAGCCTCACATTAAAAGGCCCTCCTCACCCTTGCATACACACATCGTGAAGCTGTATCATCAAAGATTAACACAGTCAAGGTAGAAAGAAGCAAGCTTGGAAGGATCAACATTTCTCTTTCTTTCTTTCTTTCTCTTCACTGCACTTTCTTCAATGTCTGTCCCAGTTGAAGGAACCGTAACGTACAGGTATCTTCGCCTTTCGTTTTGACCGCCCGACCTCCCGCTCCCCATGCACCGCACCTTCTAACATGCATGCCAAATGAAACCCCGATATAAATGAAAAAGGTATAGTGCCAGGAGAATGCATAGGAAAATGTTCTTGTTACACCAGCCCCATAAACAGTGATTACACCAGCCATTCGAACATTGCTCGAGTTGCCTCATCCATCATAACACCCTCTTTCTCTGATAATCCAAACAGTGACAAAATGCAGCATACCAACATCATAACAGCGTACAGAATAGTTCTGGATATTTTCCACAACGCCTTATAAAAACCTCTAACGCCTTCGAAAGACCAGGATCGATCCATGTCGTTCAAACACACTATCTTTTACGGTGACTCTTAGTCACCACGAGAAGAATAAACTACTATGGCTGCCCATTGGGATCTGGGTATGATTAGCATATGTCTCGCCTGGAAGAACAAACTTGCTAGTACTTACGTTGAGCTGTGCTATAACCATTGGGGTGATAGGGAGAACCAGAACCGGGAGGGTAGTTTTGATATGCCGGACCGTTGTATTCTGGTAGGGGATACTGAGACACTGGCGTGTTGGAGCCAATTGGTGGGAGTTGAACGGCACCTCTCCCGGCATAAGAGTTGTTCTCGGCGCTCTGTGTTGCTTGGGTGGTGGACGAAGCGCGTGCTCGTTCCTCGTTGGCCTTGCGTTGCGCCTCTTCCTCCTTCTTGCGCGCCTTCCACTCCTTGCGAATCTCCTTGAACTCTACAAAGTGAAACCCAAGATTAGTGACAAATCCCCAGCGACCGTGGCGCAAAGGCCATGGTAGAAGCAAAGATTCCATGCCTACCTTCAGGAGTCCGCTTCGTTCCATGCGACTGCATGGTGACGTGCGCATTCAGATGGTTGAGTGTGCCATAAGCCTTCTCGCACCCATTCCACCCACACTTGTACATGCGCTCGATCTCCTCAAAGCGTCGGCGTGGTCGCTTATGCTGGGTGGAACCGGGGATAGGAACGAAAGAGTAAACCTGCTTTAGCATGTTGATTAGACTCAATTGGTTGCTGAGATATATCTCAATTGGCAAGTTCGTACCTGATTCTGTCGCGTTTGAGCAGGAGCCGGGGAATGTGTAGGGGGGAAGACGGCATGGCCCTGCATAGGACCGTTTTGCTGATATGTCGCCCAGTCGGGACGTGGTTGGGCATAGAGTCCTGCACTAGGACCGCTGTGCTGATATGGGCTCGTCACATCGGGAGGAGGAGGCGCGTAAGACGGGTAGGCCGGGTGAGGATAGGCGTGTCCAGGACCCGACATGTTGTTGGACGAGGGGACGCCATTGCTAGGATGGCTCTGGGAGGAGCGATATCCCATCATCGTGTCTTGAGGGAAACTGGCACTTCCACGGTGACCCGAGTAGCCGTATTCAGAGGCGGGGGTTCCAGACGGGGCTGGGTAGGGTTGGCCGGGGGCTGGGGCGGCTGGGTAGACAGGAGGGCGTCCTTCCTGCTGTGTTGTGTAAGGCACAGGGCCAGGTGCTTGCTCTGTTGCAGATGAAGCTTTAGTAAGACGGGACGAAGTGCGGAGTTAAGATAAAGACAAACCTGGGTGAGAGTACTCGGGGGGAGTACGGTCGGTATTATTTGTCGTGCTGTTGGTATGGTGTGACATGATGGGTAGAATTGGCTCCGAATGGAGGTTCCCACGTCTCAAACTTATAATAAACGCCGGACAGCTTATAGCGCGAGACTAGCGATACGGGGGCAAGGACGGCTAAGAAGAGCGGACAACTAGGCCGGACCACACAACCAAAAGAGAAACCGGACACTAGCAAGGGTGCTGGTGGAATAAGCAGTCTGGGCCGAGTCGAAAAAAAAGAGACGGCGGGCGATCTAAGAGATGCAGGTCGTGGGTATTTCTCACTGGACAGCTAGCTAGTTGTAGGCCGGGCCGGGAGTGAGAGGCGGCGGGATTGTTGCGTAACTGAAAAAAAGTCTGCAGGCGGCAGTCTGTCGGTTTGGCCTGACTACCGTATAACTAACTGGGAAGCCGTTCCTGACGCGGGCGATGTATGACGTGCGTCCAAGGTAGGTGCAATGATGAGTCGAGATCAAACCTCGGGGGGTCGGAGATGTTCGCAGGCGATGTTAGGAAGGAAGGGAAACGGTCCTAAAACTGAAGGCGCGACACCACTACCCGAAAAGTTGGGGTTTACACGTGCAGAACGGGCACAAAGTGGTTTTTATATCGGACCATGGGCCACCTCTCGAGCAGAGGAAAAGTCGAAGGGGTCACGGTTGAATGCCGTATGGCAAAAGGTGGCCAGGATTCGTCCGTTCTCGCATCCACCCTTCACTCCCAGGACTCCCCAGAGGAACCTTGGGACCCCGTTGAGAGACCCAGTTGCCAGTGAAAGGGCCGGGCCCCCCTGGTACCCTGGTCTTTGGTCACAATCGCTTTTTTTGTAAAATAGTGTACTGCTATGCAGCAGTGAAGAGCCTGCCATCCACATCGCCTGCAGGCAGGAGCCTTCCGTTGAGCTGTAGGTATCCAAGTACCTCGAGGTCTGCTTGACGCCCAGGTCTGCAGCGGTATTGGCGCGTACGGTATTGGTGACGCCCATTCACCAACCTGCAGTAATTCATACAGCCCCAAACGCAGCGTTGGTTCTAGCACGGTCTGGTCGATCTGATTGCGCACAGTCGGTCGGGTGGATGTGGAGGTAATGCATTCAAAGTGCAGTGTTGGCCCGCCCAACCTGAGCCGCCCAACGACAACAGGTCAAGAATCCCAATTGAGCGGTCGCGATTGATCGCCTTGACCGGTGGGTATGCTTGAATCTAAGCTCAGCACCAGAAAAGGAGCCTGTATGAAAGGCGATGTGGTGAATTGCTCCAAGATCAACGAAAACATAACGGGACTGGAAAACCAGCCATGACCATGTGTATCGTTACTCGTAGTGAATGAGCTTTCCCCACGCCGGTGCCGGCTGCGTTCTGACTCGCGCTCCAGCAAGTCGGACTGCAGGCTCACAGGGGGAAGTGAAAAGAACACTGTGCAGCGTCTGCTTTGTCTGACAGGTTATGGTAATCCGGTGCGGGGGTAACGGTAATCCATTGTAACGGCCGGAAACAAACGTGTATTTTTGCTGCCCATGTTTTTCCTTGACTCGTTGTCGGGATGTAGTTCCAGATATTCTTCCTTCACTTCAAAAATGGCTCCGAGTGACTGCCTCTTCTTATATCTTCGCATTGGTGCCAATGCTCCATCTCTCCCCTTCTCACCATGTCGTCAACCTTTGACCACCTGGGTTTGATAGGTACCCAAGTAGACCAAGTCAGCAAATGGAAGGTACCTCCAAGGTTGTACTCAACAAAGACCTCGAAGCGGGCGGGGTGTGTAGGTACCAGCGTGCCCTCCCTGCTCGCCGACCTTGCCCAAAAAGGGTGGAGATAATGCGGGCTGCACTTTCCATACCTAGGGGACCAAAAGTGTGAATTCCTCATCTCTTGTTGATGGTTCCTGCCCTTCTCACCGCGATTGAGGAAGCACTCGACGACGGACCTTGAAGCTTTTCTTGAACATACTGGCGCTACCTAGGACGGCAAGTACGGTAGCCGCTTGCCTTGATGCGCGCGGATCAAATAATGCAAGTCCATATGCGGTGTTTTCGATCAGCATGGCAAAATGGAGGCTTCAAATTGGAGCGGCAGATCGTGTTCCCCTCCGCTCTCTTTACTCTGCTACACAGCATCATCATCATCATCATCGCCAATGTTCACGCTCAATCGAAGGAGCGCGGAACTGGAAATGTTCTATAGAGGTGCCGATTCCATCAGCTCAACCAAACCCCCGTCTCCTCCATCATTGTCGCGTAAAGCGACAAGAGTATCGAACTCAATGGGGATTCAACCTTGCCGGCCAGATAGGCCGCAACAAGACAAAAGGCATCCGGCAAAATCAAAACGGACCCAGCACGGGGGTTCTGTTCGCAGAGGGGGTGAGGACAAGCGGAGTCACGGCGATGACCCCGGTCAAGGACCCTACGATGTGCTGGTGCTGATATGTGGATGATGCCCAATGGGCCGAGGCACTCCAGCAACGAGCGGCTAGCCCCAGCAGCAGATCGCTTCGAGACCTGCCCGTATGGTCTGACTAGAGGAGAGGCCAAGAACATTGCTGCAGTTCCAAATGGAGGCAGACCGCAAACAAAACGAACAAGAGACAGGGCTCTGCCTCGAGACAAAGGCGACTTTGATTGCCCGGCGTTGGACCTGAGGCAGTGAGGAGCCTGAGACACCAGCCAGCTCTGGCTTCACTCTCTGGGGCGGCACGACACGGACCAGAGTCGCCCAAACCAACGTTGTGTTGGCCACGATTCAAAGTTCAGGGCCTCAACGCTGGCATTCTTCATCTTTCTGCTTCTTCCTGCTGCCGCGAGGACACTGGGCCCTGTCAACCCAACCGCCAACCCAGCGCAGCCCTGCGGCCGGCAGGTTTGAGGAACTCAAGTGTCCGCAGGAGGCACGAGAGCTGCCCATCATACCCATACACTAGGAAGGGATGACCCAGGAGAAAAAGGATGAGCTACAATGATCAGCGCTGAAGCGTGACACCTTCCTCTCACTCGTGCCGCCATCCTGCTCACACACACACTCTCTCTCCACATACATCACGATCCAATCGCCTCGAGCGGCGAGCTTTCCATTCCCCATTTCTCAAGTACGGCACCTCCTAGCCGTCGGGGTTGAGTGCCAGACCCTTTTCTTCGCAACCCTCCCGCTTTGCCCTGATTTGCTTGGTTTGATTTCTATGCCAATGCTAACCTTGCCTAGAACGTACTTTTTCGTCAAGAAAACCTGAAGCCGCACGGATGGACAACCATGCCTTGGTGCCTATGGCTTGAGCCCGCAATATTCGGGAGCCGTAGTGAGGGTTTCAGGTCGTTCATGTGGCAAGTGGAAATCCGACGGTTGAGGAGAGCACCCACAAGCACCTAACCCTCGTGTAAAAGGGTTTCGCAAACCTCCGCGAGATTATTCGGAATGGACTCGTTGTTAGGGGCATGCCAATGAGCTAGCGCCGCGGCCCTGTGATTTCCGGTGGTTAGCGTAGCGCCGTCAGAAAGGCAGCGAAGCGGGACCGAGCTTGGAGCTGGAGAGGACTTATCCCCACCGGACCCGGTTCCCCGTCCGCTGTATGGAGATGGCGCCGGGCGTCGTAGCTTGATCGATAGCGGAGATTGCGTAGCTCCAAACGACTGCCTGCGCACCACCGCATGTGATGATGACGGTCCGGAAGGACATCTGTCATCGTCTTTGCCGAAAGAGAATGTGGACACATCTGCGGGTGATGACGAGAAAGACCACCGTTGTTTTGAAGTATGTGCCAGACACCCAAGCGGTGACCGTGTTGAAACTTGAACCTTTGATGACCACAGAGCCGAAGAAATGCTGAAAGACCACTACATCACGATTCGAAAATGATAGCACATTAGGCGATGCGCTTTGTTCGGGCATGTTCGAGACGCAACCAAGGTCTTGGGAACGAAAACTTAAAATTTTAGGCCTATCTCGTATTGTCTATTTGAGTGTTTCTTAGTGCACTCAGAGAACATACGTTCACCCGTAGTCAAGCTACCTGAGCCAGCCGCAAAACTAACAACCCACCAGTCACAAAGCACGAAGTTTCACTTGCGGGCAGCAACCGAACGAGCACCGTTGAGCGTGGAGGGCCGTACCATTCAAGACCAGATCTCCGCAATCTTGGGATGGAAAATAGGCGACCCGGACTGCTGGGACCGCACTAACTTGTGTCGTTGCGTAGGTGATGGAGGGCTGGGATCTGTGTGAGATGAATGAAATCCCAGGTGCTAGTACTGACGTTCTTAAGGCTGGCTGGCTGTCCGGTTTCCGAGTCCGTGGAAACTAAGGACGCCGCGCTCCTGCGTTTGAGCAATGGAACTTGCCGAATGTCAAAACTTAGGTTGCGCGCGCGCGCGCGCGTGTGTGTGTAACGCGAGATGGGAAAGGTTTTGTGTTGTTGCTCGCACTTTCTTGGCTATATCTACCTACCTGGGCAACTACCCAATTTCAAAGCTGAGAATGAGCATTCAATATACACTATACTACCTCACTCACTACGAACAGTTGAAGCAGGATATTATCACATACCGCGATGTTACAATGCCTCTACATGCGCCTCAGACATAAGTGGTATCGAAGTTGATATAGTGAGGTATGTACTGCTGGTATCCAGAAGCAGAACAATAAAACACCAAACTTGGAGATAGGTAGCATCACCAAAAGACAAAGACAGCGAATGTGAAACAGAAATCATCGAATAATTCAAGGAGACAGCTACGCAAAATACATAGGTACGTAGGTAGGTATCGCAGACTTTTTGAGACTTAATATGATCAAGGATACGTATTTACACACGTGGCAACCCATTTTTGTCTAACAACACTGGGGACGGAAAAGGTGGAAAGAAAGAAAAGCTGTGCAACGGAACTGAAGCTATTTCTTCCCTCCCGCCTGCCTGAACCCTGGACTCCTTCCCTTCCCCTTCCAAGTTCCATGCGGCTTTCCAGCCGAGACTCGTTCGGTTCCCGCTCCCCGCCCGCTATGAGACAGGCAGGCGGACGGACAGAAGGGCCTCTGACGTTGAGG